GAAACTTTCACAGAAACTTTACTACATATTGCCATTGTACACTGTGGCGGATTTACAGGGGGCACACCCGGCGTGCGCCCCCCCCCCCCCCCCCTTAAAATTGTCAAAGTTAGCGTAAATCATAGTTTAGTCTAGAAAATGTAAAAATTGTCTTCTAGGTAGACCTCAATTTTACCCTACGAAATCTGTAGAATCAAGGAGCTTCCGGGGGCTTCGCCTTTGGGTCCCCCCATCCCGCCTACTTTATTCGCCCCCTAACTTCAATTCCTGTATCCGCCCCTGGTGACTTCCTATTTTACTTTTTGATCCGACACATATTTTGGGTTTCCCGGCCACAGCAAAACATGGACTTTGCCATTATGGCATGGGAGGCGGGGGTATCATTTAGTGAACTCATTGTTCACAGTACCTTTAGTTTTCTTGGTTAATTTTTATAGCTCTCATTAAAATTAAAACTTCAGACCCTGCCCTTACCCATAATAACAATCCTGAAATACATTGCACGAAACAGGCACGTATTAAATGTCTTCCAACGTTTTCGTGCAGAATAGTTAAATCATAGTTATATTTGCAAATGTGTTAATAAAATTTGGTTGAGAAACTCTGTTGTAACATGATTCTTCTTCCAACCTTTTTTTTTGTTTTTTTTTTTGCTTGTCAAAATTTTTCAGATAAGTTGCTTATAATTCTTATTTTTCATACTTATGAAAAGTTGTTATTGTAAGAAAAAATTATAACTAAAAAAAAGTAAAGCCTTTCTACTGTTTTCCTGAGCAGTCAAATAAATCGCTGCTTGACAGTGGAGTGAGATGTTGGACCTGTCGATGAGCTATGGCACCGCTTACTTCACAGTGTCATGAGTGTGGGCGGGGTCAAAGTCATAACTTTACGGAATTGACCAAGTTTAAACTGCAGTGCGCGTGAAAAAAAAATCATCATGACATTAATATCATAATAAACAATATAAAGATTCATTAATTAATTGTTCTGAGACAAAAATGCTTTTTGTCGACCCCTCAAACAAAATTTTTGCTTTCGGCCTAACAAGCTCGGGCAAACAGTTTGGTTGTTCGGTCCGAAAAAAAACGCATGTTGCCTTCGAACTCTGTCTATGAATGTATACATGTAGTACTGACAGTGTAAACCCCAGACAAATCCAAATATTCTCATTTAAGATGCATCGTTTGTGCCTGAAGATGTGTTTATATGATAAATGAAAAATAAAAATAAATTATTTATATGTCGACCAAATTGAAAGCATATATTTCCAGTTTAAAAATTTCTAACCCCCCCCCCCCCCCCCGAAGAAAAAAGAAGTCAAGGGGCGGGAATGACGCGCCAGAGATTTCCACTTTTCTAATATAAAAAATTTGGTTGATATCATTATGAAGAAATTTTCCATATTATAAATCTGGTTGTTCTTTTTTTTATAGAGAGGCTGTCATTGTTGAAAATGAGGGTTCGTGGCTTTTTTTTGTGATGTTTAAGAAAATTACATACTGAGCTAAAGAAGGGTCTTGTCCCCAAGCACATGTGCTCCGAAGATATATAATCCTATTGTACATGTATTCTTGAACTTAAAAAAACAACACCAGATTAGGTCATGCATTTCACTATATTTTTTTTCTTCATATTTTGCGACTCCCCTATGCGTTGTGTTTTTCCAGAAACGAATCCCCCCAACGTAACCATTAATGCCTGAGGAGAAAATGCCTTAAATTATTAATTTTTATAAAGTCTAGCCAAGTTTAAATAGTTGCATTTGAAAGATAAACGTTTGCTTTTGTTGTTTTATATGTTATAATACCTTTACAAGTCGTAGATTGTGCAAACTATGCATGTTTTAACCACTCGATCAACGTAAATATGAAATCTTTCGAATAGTTTCGAAGTGTTTGAGAAAACTAGACGTATATGCTAGCCGGAACAAATGACCGAAAGAAAGCTAAACTATTGCTACCTTCCGTGGGCTAGTTGTTTTTTGTAAATACATCTTGCATATACCGAAAAAAGACGTGACCCACATCACTTTTGACTCCGAAGCGGTGAAAATCGACTCCCCCATACGTTGAAAACGACTCCCCCATACTTTTTAGCGACTCCTCCGCGTTACCCGTTGTATACGGTGATATATGTTTAGATGGAAATATTATATATATTGTTATGATGCATTATTTTCGAAGCATGTTGAAATATTTTGTTTTTGCTTTTAGCCCAGGCAAAGGACAGTCAGCTATTCCCCCATTCAGATTTGCAAATTATGACACACAGAAATTGAAAATACAAAAGGTATCTATTGAACAGAGATATTTATTTCAAATACATAATATATTTCATATTATATTCTGTATACTAGTCCTACCATTTCTGACTATTGTTTTCTCTAATAATGATGTTTTGTTTTTACTTTCTGTAGGTCAAGGTCATGATTGGCTCGGAGATTGTCCACTACTCTCTGACCTTTTCAACCAGACGTGCAACATGTGCTGAAGTAGCGAGCATGGTGACACAGAGGTCTCTTCAAGATCACAGTAAAATAACTCCAAAGGTATAAAAGTTTTTGGTAGGCTGACGTGATTTCTTCTAAAATATAAACCCTTATGTATTGGTAAATATCGAAAATATAAAGTAAATGTAATTTATCTCCTCAAATATTTTTTGTAATTTATAAGGATGCATGCATCTATAAAATATACAGTTGGAATCCATTATCTCGAATTGTGTTATCTCGATCACCAATATCTAGAATATCAGGGATATGCTGAAGTGAGTTAACTGTCTCAGCCATATTTTTTCTTTATATTTTTACCCTCATGATCATTGCTCGGATATTCCGATTAGTTTTATGCAATGGATTTAAAGATAATAAAGTTTGACTATAATAAAGATTACACGTATTCTTTTTTCGTTGACAGCCATTGTACAAAGCTCCAGAGAAAACTGTTCCTGATCCTATGATCCGAGCTTCACCAGACTGTAATATTCCTGGGTATGTATGTCTTTTTTGTTACTGCCTGGCTTGAAAAAAATGATTGAAAAACAATAATATACAATAATTGCTGTTTTTTGAGGTCAACACAATGATTTACTGATATCTTTGGCTAGGACTTAATTAAATGCAAGTTAACAAGTAATGAGCTGTATCATTTTATCAGTGAATCATATAATAAAACAATTATTGCTATTTTTTTTCGGTCAGTACAATGATTTAACCATCTTCGAAGTACAATATTCACCTCGCCGTTCGGGCTCTATGAATATTGTACTCCTCAGATGGCTAAATCATTGTATTGACCTCAAAAAACAGCAATAAGTGTATAGTATTTTTAACAATTGTACAAGGAAAGCCAAACAAAAATATAATTTATGTGATTTTTAAATTTTTTTTATTTATAGCACTGCGACTTTCCCAGAACCAGAATTCAGCAATGAAATGGTACGTATTTGACATATAAACGCTTGTGTAACATAATTCATTTATTGTTTTTAAAAGTTAAACGAAAGCCCCCACAACATTTGTAGTAATGTGAATAAATTTTGACTTATAGGAGAACGATCCGAGCCAAAAGGCTGGAGAAGGCTATTGTGTTGTGGCAAACCACAGAAAAAACAGGTAAACATCCACTCCTTTTCATTTCAATTTCATTTTCAATTTTTTTCCCTTTGAGAATTCCGATTTTAACAAACTTGATCTTGCATGATTTTTACATACATTTGACTTTGTACACCTTTCATTTTTTAGGAAAAGAAAGAGAAGAAGGAGAAAACTGGATTTCTGAGCAGATTACGCCGCTTGTTTAAACGTTGATAACCTATTTTATTATTGCGTGATTGTTCTATTTTATATATCATTTAAGACCCCCGAAGAAAACCTTTTATACTGAATCATAATTATACTATTTCATATGGATTAGAAAATTAACTTTATATGATTATCATTATGAGAACTGAAAGATTTGAATTTCATCAAAATAAATTTTATCTTAATGTTCTTGTGTTTTTGTTTTTATTTTCAAATTGTTTTCCTCATGTATAACATCTTATTAAGTATTGCCTTATGAACATGGAAAGGTAAAATATCAGACGATCACTGATTTACCATTCACTTCTCTTAATAAAATCCTGTACAGTCTGCAGTGGCCAGTACATGCAGTTGTAATTTTCCTATTTGTCTTAAGTATCAAGTACTTTTAGTATCCACTTAGGAACACTTTCAGGTGACATATTTGTTCGGGATTTCCTGTTCTCTATCAATTTATGGCGTGTCGTGTAAGGGTCAATATCAGTTACTAATGATATCAATTGTTCACCACGGTGATGGAAAATAGATTCTACTAGTATTATGAAAGCTAAGTGGTAATGTTAGAATGTGAGTGTGTTACATCACGTGCATATATCAACCGTTATTATAGAAATTGACAAAGAAGTCCCTAGAAGAATATCTGGACATTTTTGTTGAGATGAATTATAAAGATGATGTTATTACCTCATGCGGAGAGAGAGAGAGAGAGAGAGAGAGAGAGAGAGAGAGAGAGAGAGAGAGAGAGCTAATACTTAAGATAAAAACTTTGGCTTGTAAAAATTTATTTTAGATAAATATTTAATATGTGAGAGATATACTGAAAGACACGTTGCATATATAGTACTCTGATGAGGCGGAATTTGATTTTGTGAAAATAAAAAACAAGCACACAATCGTTTTCATCCTTAAACAGTGAAGTACTTCTTCCTGAAATCGGTGACATCACATAATAAACCGTCACATGTCATATGTAAGGAAAACCCTTTAAAACTGTAAAGAGAAAAGCAAAGTATAAATGAAATTCGTACCTATCACAACATATAAGGATGTACTGTTGCTTCGATGCACGAAACGATTCCCAGGAAGTGTGTGAGACAGTAAATTTAACATGATATTGGAAAGGATAACCAACAAACTGTGAATGAAATATAGATATTCCGTGTGGAAAAATTGACACCATTTTATCGTGAGGATTGCCTATGAACATATATAAATGGGAAATGCTACAGACCCTATTCACGAATCGGGGATTCCAACATACGTGTTTTTCGCCTTTGGATTTGTGGGCAATGGGCTAGCTCTTGTTGTTATTTGTTGCAACCGGGAACATCATCAATGGCGATCCTTCTACATTTTCTTCGTAGGTCTAGCAATGTCTGACTTTCTGAATCAGGTGATAGTATTCCCATTCGAAGTCTTACGGTATGGATCTAATTTCAATTACACTATTCCCCCACATCTTTGCAAAGTTGAGTCATTTATCTACTCTTTCACCCAAATTTCCTCAGGCATGATCATTTCCGGTATAGGCACGGACCGATACATTTTTTTAAGTAACCATGGACAACCACACGACACGATGCTGTGGAATCGCCGAAAATATCTTGTTTGTCTGCTGGTGATATGGATTTTTTCGGCCCTTGTGTCATCACTTCATTTGTTTGTAGGGAAAAGCTCGATCTTTTATCCCGGGTCCTGGTGCTTTATTGACGTGATGGACAAGGGTATTGGATCTGTATTTAGTGCCACAGTGTACGCTTTAACAGGGATTGTGGTCCTTGTGTATACTGTGTACATTTATATCTGCGTCATGTGCATGTCGTGTAGAGACCCTGAACAACGCGGTAGACTTCTGGACGCAGACCGTGTAACTGGCTTTTACGACGTTCATGTCAATGTGTTCTTGGCAATTTCAGTGACGCTTTATGTCGTCTGTTGGGGACCATTTTTGGTAAGTGTTGCCAAGAAGACTTGCAAAAGTATGAACTGTTATGATGAACACAATGAAATACATTTTCTTTCATAGAGACTACGTATTGTATAAATTAAAAGAAATGACGTGTTAAACATGTTAAAAATTAAACGTAAGAATTAATTCTTCATAATGCACATCAACTATTCATTAAAACTTAAAAAAAAATCTTTTGTAGATGGACATATTTTTACGAGGGATCAAAGTAATACCTGGTTGTCCAGGTAAACTTGAACTTTGGCTTGTTCGACTGATAGACCTGAAGTCCAATGTGAACCCCTGGCTTTATGTATTACTACGCAAGGAGTATATAAGAAGGATCTTTGTTCGATTTCAGTCATGCCATGAGGGGAATATTCAAACAGCGCCCCCTGATGGAGAAAGCAAGAGGCTCCTACAGGAGAGTCAAATAACTTTCTCAAATCCTTCAAGTCAGTGTTCTAACTATATGCAAAACTGACTGATCTTTACTAACTATTTTCATTATTTATTATTTTTTAATTTTTTTAAGCAAGATTATTAAGAAATCATCAGATGAGGTATCAGGGTTGAAAATCCCACTGATTCCTCTTATAAAATTGTGCTCAAGCATTATATTATTAGTACTTCCCAGAAAAGCCTAATCTAAATAAAATTATTTGAAATGCAAATTTGGAGAAGGGGGAATCTTTTACAATAATGGACTTTTAAACTTTGCAGTATCATATAAAAGACTGGAACACTATCTCAAGCGAGAGTTACCGCGGGTTACTTCTTTTAGATTTCGATGATGAATCTAGAAATCAGCATTATACATCAATCTATTCATCAAACGAGTTCAAAATTTAGTCAAATAACGAAATAGGAAAAATTTTGTCTCAACAGCTGAACATCAAGTTACTTTTATAATGTACATGTACATACTGTAAAGAATTTATCATAATCACCCAAATAGGCAATAAACCTTACCAATAGTTAATGCAGCATGCCAGCTATAAAAGTTTCCGCGATAGCCAGCAGCATAGCTTAAGAAACGAAAAATCAAAAGAAAATTGAAACAACAAAAACTCGTCTTTTTTGTTGTACTAGCCAAATAACAGGCATTTACTGTTAATGAATAATTATTATAAACCATTTACAACAACATACATATTGGAAAATAAAAGCTTAAGCATAACGCATTCCAAAATACCGGTAAAATCCAAAGATCCAACTCCGAACATTTTTAAACTACTGATTATGAAGCATTTCATTTACTCTTTTTGAAACTAATTTATTTCTTTTAAACCACATGGAAACAAAAAGTTATCATGCATTTGTGATTTTTACATAACAATCCTTTGATTTATTCATGTTTATTCGTATCTTTTCTAGTACTGAGTTGCTCCCCTTTTTCATGGAAAAACAGTTTTATTGCCCACAAGCATGTTATGATTAAAGCTTTCACAAAAACTATACGGGAGTAAGGAATCATATTTACTCCTGTGCCTTCCTCAGATCCCGTTAGTCTTTGGAAAATACTATCGTTTGTCTTTAGTTGGACAAATGTGTTCTAAGTTTGGATAAAAATCTGAACAAGTTTTTGACCTCTATAGTGTAAACACTTATTAATAGTATTGCATTTGAGAAAATTTCTTGCGTTTTGGAGCTAAGCTTTGAAATGATGCTTATCAATAAATACAAATCAGAAATATCAAACAAGCACGTGTAAGATACATGTCTTTTATCTTCATCTGAACATAGAAGAATTTGTCCAACTCAATATAGCTTCTGCACATTCACAGCTTAAATAAAGACTTGCATGGAATGTAAATCAAATTCAAAAATACTAAAATAGAAAGATCTTTGTTAAAAAGATGTCAAGGACATAAAAAAGATAATTATGTGTATGTAAAAAGCACACCTAACAGAAAATATGCTTAATTCCCAGAGGTTTTCTTGGAATAGTTTATTTAGTCATGTCTTTCGTATTAAGGCTGCTACTCGTGCAAAAGTGGAAGCAAATAAACATGTAATAGAAAGAAGATATAATACTTGCATATAAAACTTGTAATAAATATATTATGTCCTTTGTTTGCTTTTTTGTTTAGTACCAAAAAATTCTTTCAAGAATGTGCATCTTCGAAGTCACATCTAACAGATATATTGATTGATTGTGTACTGTTTAGCGTCCCTCTCCAGAATATTTCACTGATATGGAGACGTCACCATTAATTGCCGGTGAAGGGCTGCAAATTTACGCCTATGCTCGGCACTTACGGCCTTTGAGCAGGGAGGGATCTTTATCGTGCCACACCTGCTGTGACACGGGGCCTCGGTGTATACGGTCTCATCCGAAGGACCGCCCCATTTAGTCGCCTTTTACGACAAGCAAGGGGGCACTGAGGACCTATTCTCACCCGGAACCCCACGGGGCTCTAACAGATACAGGTTAAATGTTTTTGAGCTGTATTTCGTTCATATCAACCAATTACATTTCAAGTAATTATTAATATTACGATGTTTAAGGTGATTTTCAGAAAAAAAAATTGCAACAGGGTCATCATGAAAATTAATTCCTGACGTACAAAATACCAGTAAAATGTATTCAACAAATATAAAGAACAAAAAGAAAGAAGTTGAGGATTTTGGTCTTTGTCATCAACAGGACAGTATATAGGCTATAAAAATTATGACAATACAGAAAGGAATTTATACATAATATGGCTTTCGATTATAGAAAACAAAGAATAATTTGATCGAGATATGAGAGGAGCAAAGAAAGATTGACTAACAGTACCAGAAGCACATCAGTGTCCAACACTTCACTCTGCTTTCACATTTATCAAGACTAGCTTCTCAAGCTTTAAGGGGACATCTGGTGCTTTGTTGACATAACCTAAAAACAAAAGATCATCGTATTAAAGAAGTAGAACACCTATAGTCACGTTAACCTCAACGAGGCTTCTTAAAATCAAACCTAATTTAAAGACTGCATACTGAAACATGTGAAACAAAGGAATCACGTGTTTTCCTTATCAAGAAGTCAAGAGGTATAAGTACTAGTAGTAGCATACATGTGTGTTTTTTCATAGTTTTGATACGTTTTTCTCGGCTTAGTTTTCAAAACAAATATTCGATTCATTCTAGTACGATGATTTTAAGAAAACGTGAACATTTCATTATTGATCAGGATGCTGTATAAGGATGTCAGGAAATATCAGGAAGTTGTTCAAATAACATTCTTTATACTATGTATTTGAAAAAAAAATATGATTAAGACCGTTGTGATAAAGTTTCCTTGTTTTTTATTTTTGAAAAACTAATCATATGCTATACAATTTAAGACTTACTTGAAAGTAGTTCTCTTAGATTGAGCCATACAAAACCCCAGAGGCTTACCTTCCCCCATAGCTATACTTCACCTGAATGTTTCCAAAGAGAGGGAGCTGACTACCAAAAAATGATGATGGAAAAGCTAAAGTCATCTCCTTTGTTTTACTGTTTAATAAGTTTATAATTGGTCCTTAATTTGGTCTCAAATAATTGGAACTTTAAATGTAAAACAAATGTGACTGACACACTGATGTTTTTTTCGGAGGTTAGAAGGGTATTTGAATGGACGTAACTATCATTAATTGATAAAATATCCTAGATATATCTGAGGACGAATTGAAGGCCACTACAGTGTTTTCTTATTCTAGCTATTATGTACATGGTTTTGTTTTACCTCTTTTTCGTAGGATTAAAATAAATCGATTTATAAATCATTTCATATATTGAGATATCTTATATATGTAATATCATGTCTTTTGTCATAAATTATCAAAAGTTTTACTAAAAAAACTCTTTAATTAGAATAAACTATTATTTTAATTACGCATTTAGTATTTTAATGTTCTTTAAAGTCATTAAATTGTGAGGAGAGTAAATGTCAACCAGTCAAAGGTCAAATACTAGTATCTCTCCTATAGCTGAGCAAAAACACATTATCCGACAATAAACATTGATTGGTCGACATTATGACTATTTACAATAAGGTTGAGCATTGCTTTACAAACACCTGCTACTTTATGATGTTACAAACATTTTATATTAGTCATAAAAGTGTTTATTCAATTGTTTGGAGATTGAAGTTGTGCAGTAAACTCGTCAGGTAGAAAGAAATCACATTGCCCAGAAGATTGTCCTTAGAACGACAGTGTGGTTAATGGTCAAATGTATATTTGGATAAGATAAGTAGTTTTGCGTTTATTTATTATAGAAAGCCCAAATAAAAAAATTCTTGAATTTTAAATTTTTATTAATTTAGATTTCTTTTGATATTAATATTTTAAATGGATGTTTTTTTAAGATATTAATTCAATGCCCGAAGTCAACTCTCTCTTATTCAACCCTTTTTTCTTTACTTCATCTTAAATGTCGAAATCTTAAAATCCCTAGACAGGCGCTAAATGATAAAGGAATGCGCCCTATCAAATATAATCCTTTATTGGTTCAAATAATATATATATCACTGAATGATAGAATAAAGCACCAACTAGGGTCAGAACACTCTATAACACGGTATGAAAATATATGTTACTTGGTTACAAATGATGAAAGAACAGAGGGCGTTTTCTGATGGAAAAATATGCAATAATGAATTTGATTTAACTTTCAAAAATTTGTATGTATCATTTTCAAAGCATGATTTCGAAGCTAAGCTTGCGTAAATAAAAAGCATATTTTTGTCAGTAAGGGTTTCTCGGGCTGTCTTACATATCAAAGAATTGACTCTGAACTGAATGCAGCTACGTGCATTGAATCATTTAACATATATCTTGCGCATTTTTATTTAAATGAAAAAAAAAACTTTTTCGATTAGGATGCCTTCTTTTAGTAACATTATATTTCAGCGTCTTGAATAGAAGCAAAAGGAGGAGTAGAAGTAGAAGTTAACAAGAGGATCATGGGCCACATCGCTCACCGGAGCAATGTGGCTAGGAAAAAAGCATAAATTAGTTTATTGTTGAAAAGTTGAAACCAAATAGTGGTCCCAACCAATCCTTAAAAGGGAAAGGGTATGATTTGAACAAACTTGAATCTACACTAAGGATGCTTGCATATTTCGTTGACTACCTGTGGCTTTATTGCCCTTTACATTTGAACTTACATTGTGGCCCCGCCCTACCATCAGGGGTCATGACTTGAACAAAATTGAATCTACATTACCTGAGAATGCTTTGTTACAACGCGAAATGTAATAAACCTGGATTATTATATTTCTCATTATTACATTTTGCGTCGAGATCAATGCAAAATGTAATAACGCAAAATGTAATAACATAATTTTTAGATTATTACATTTTGCGTCGAGATCAACGCAAAATGTAATAACGTGCTCTTCCGTTGTTACATTCTGCGTTATTTTTTTTTTTTTGCACTGAAAAGAAAACGCAAAATGTAATAAAACAATATGTAATAAAACAAAATTTAATTAATTTTTTTTTTATTGCGTATAACAAAAAAGAACATAAAATTGATTCAAATATATACATGTAACCAACATGGGAAACACGCTGTAAAAATATTTAGAATTAAAACATTGAAACCTACGTTAGGGCTTTGTTACAACGCACTTTGAAAAATTACGCACTTTGAAAAAATTTTTCAAAGTGCGTTAATTTTTGGGACCAGGTTAACGCACTTT